ATAAGAGCTAAATATCCACTTCCATGTTATTTTCTTCTGCCTTGTAACCTAGAAGGAAGAGCAACTTAAGTAGGAGGGAAACTTCGTTGCAGTGTTTTTAAAGCAGTGGCACCCAACCTTTTGGGCACCAGGGATGAGTTCTGTGGAGAAAGGTTTTTTCCGTGGACTGGAGGGGGCATGGTTTCATGTGCTGCCTGCATCCCATGGATGGGGCTTCACTTGTTTGTGCAGCCCAGTTTCTGGCATGCCGTGCCCCGGTGTCGGTCCAGAAACCGGGGATGGGGGACCCCTGTTGTAAAGAGTCTGTTTTAAACGCAAAAGTGACCATGAGTTGTTGTAAATTATTACTGGAATGCCTGCTTGAAAAAAACAGTGGTAATGTAAGCTTTTTCCTTTCTTCATTATGAAGATGCTGACTTTTATTATGTTGGCTCGCCTGTCAACACTCTGCCCTAATGCTGTCCTGCAAAGATTAGAGCGGCTTGTTGAACCACTACGAGTGACATGTTCAACTAAGGTAATGTCCTGGGAAGCTTGAATGTATTTATAGCTTGATAGTTCTACTTCTCTTTCTTTCCTGAGGTACCTACCATAGTTGTCAGACTATAAGACACACCTAGATTTCAAAGAGGAAAACAAGAAAAAAAAAGTTTTTGGCCTCCGTGCATTCGTTTTTTGCCCTCCCCGGCCCCCAGGAACACTCTGCAGGCCTCCCAAACCCTTCACGCATCCCGTTTTCACCAAAAATGGGCATGTTTTTGGCAAAAATGGGGCACGGGGTGGTGGTGGTGGTGTTTAGAGGCCAAAAATGCCCATATTCGGTCTATAAGACACACCAAAATTTTCACCCACTTTTTTGGGGGGGAGAGTGTGTTTTATACTCCAAAAATATGGTAATTGTTCATGTCCTGAGAAACAAGGGATTACTGTTGCAATAGAATCACAATTGCAATCCTCCACTTCCAACTATTCGTTTAATGACCACTCAAAGTTACTACACTGAAAAGTAACTTACAACTAGTAAGTTACACTTACAACCATCACAGCATCCTGTCGCCATGCGATTGCCATTTGTGATCATCTCAGTCGGCTTCTGACAAGCAAATTTAATGGGGGAAGCCCAATTTATTTAATGACTGCATGGTTTATTTATCAACTGCAGTGATTTGCTTAACATTCGTACAAAAAAAAATGTCGCAAAATCAGGCACAATGCCTGGCTTACCAGTGGAAATTTTGGTGCCGATTATAGTTGTGAAAGTGGAAGTGACAGAAGCAATCTTAGCTTGATTATCTGGGATGAGTTTCCCCTGATTGGCACAGAAGTGGACTGAGTTCCCAAAAACTCTGAACTCTGCAGTCTTGTGTGTTCAAATAATGGCTCCCCTGGTTAGTCAGAAGGAGCAATGGTTTGTGCCATATAATCTGGTTCAAGTAGTAGTGAACACTTCTTTGAGAGCAGGTTTGGTCCATGTGTTTTGAAGCAGGTTCATCCCTCCTTAAGGAGCCATACTTGGATTCAATAGTGTTGGACAATTTTGCTTCTTCTCCAACCTTCCCTTTTAAGTGAGGATTGTTGAAAAAGTGGTAGATGTGGGGCTTCAGGACTTTTTGAGGTTTTCAAAGCCATTTTCAGGCTGGGTTGAAGTATCAAGACAGTATCGGTTATGGTTATGATGCCCTTTGGAGGTGATATATCCTTCCTTGCTCTCCTCCAACTCTCAGTAGGTTACAATATCATTGAACATGATATCCTTCCTGACCACTTTTGGGGACTCAGATGTGGGGGGTTTTGTTTTGCAGTTTTCCTTCCTCCAAGGTTGATTCCATTCCACTTGAACCTCTCATGTGTGGGACATCCCAGGGCTTAATTATCCCTCTGTTCCCATTAAATTTTACATGACTTCACCTAGCAGTTTTATCATCACTGGGTAAAAAAACATCAATATGGTGGCAATACTATGCATCTTCATCCCTTGCTATACAAACAATGCCCTTGAGGCTTTTACCCAGGCCTGTGGGAGGGTTTTTGCCCCCCTTGGATCTAATGGTTTTTCATCTTCAACTCTCGATGGGATTGCATTTCCTTGATCTCAGGTCCTCCTGATCTAGCTTCTGCCTGGAGAGTAGGTGGTAACATGGCTAGGAATAGTCTTTGTAGATTTGTCTTGTGCACTACTTATGGACCAGGAATCTCTGCAATTACTCTTGCCTTTATTGGACTCCTATAACTGGATTCCTACAATGTGCTGTATATTGGGCTATTCTTGAGGAGGTTTCAGCTGGTCAAGAATATGCAGAGATTAATGAATGTGGCTATTGTATTTTAGACTTATTTAACATCTCCGAATTCATGGGCAGGTATGTAGTCAGATTTTCTTTTCTTGACCATGCAAAAAGCCACTGAATACAGACGTATCAATGTGATTAAGACTGGTAATATTTTAATTTTGCCTTTTTTTTTCTAGGTAAAGGCTGGTTCTGTAAAACAGGAATTTGAGAAGCAAGATGAACTGAAACGTTCAGCAATGAGGGCAGTAGCTGCTCTACTGACCATCCCAGATGCCGATAAAAGCCCTGTAATGGCCGAATTTTCTTCCCAAATCCGAGCCAACCCAGAAATGTCTTCCCTCTTTGAAAGCATTCAGAAGGATCCCACTTCATTATCAGCATCAGAATCAATGGAACTGAGTTAGAACTCTTGGACTATTTTGTCTGCTTCTTACAATCAATCCACTGTTTCCAGCGCAGGAGCTAGAAATGATTTGAGACAGGCGTCATTTTAAAAATGACAAATTATATTTCTATTGAAACAAAGTCAGATTTCAGATATGTTAAAGGAATGGCAATCTTATTTTCCAATTACCACTTATTCCAAAATGCAATCATGCCAAAAGAAGAGTCAATCTAATTGCAGCATTGACAAGTGTATTTACCGCCCCTTCTATTAGTATTAAAGTGAAAACACCACAAAGAATTCTGATGACAGACTATACCCTCCAAATGAATCAACAAATGTGGCAAATACATCAGTTAAATCCTGGTGTTCCATGTTTACAGATATTACAATTAAGTGATTTTTCAGTGTTACAAGATTTTATACCCATTGCCCTGCCTCCCTCCTTTGAGATTAATATTAAACTACAGAAGTATCTCGACTGTCTTCCAAGATCGAATGCCTTATGCTTCATTAATGTGGTTTGTCTGCCACTGTGTAATTTTTTTTTCTTGCTACAATTGTTTTTTTTAAAGAAGCTAATACCAAAGCATTATTTCAACGTATATAAAATTAGCATGTTATTATCAAGAGATGTTCATCTGGTATAAAGTATGCAGTAATGAATTAGCACCGTTCATTTATCAAAATGGAAATACAACTGTAGTATTCTATTTTTTTTTCATTCAGCAAGGATCATATTGCTGCCTTGCAGCTTCTGATTACATTTCATTGGGGAAGTGGGGGGGGGAGTCATATGCCACTTAATATGTGAATCACTTAAGTGCTCTATTTATAAAACAGGGTGTCACCTTTTGCTGTACATGCATCAGAATAAAGTCATATAACTGACAGAATTTGGTTAATTATTGGTTTTCTACCCAATTAACTTTTGTATGGACACTTATATGAATTTGAACTTGCTATTCTTCACAAAATAATTTTAAAATCTCTGATTTTAAGCACACTTAAATGTTAATGAAACAAAATTGGGAATCTATTTTGAGAAGACAGAATTTTAATCAGATGATGACATTTAAGTAATTGGGTTTGAAGTACAGATCCATCTTCACAAGTACCATTTCCAAGCCAGCTATCCCCTAGGCTACACTGTATGCATTTCATTTTTGTTCCCTAAATTAAGGATTTTTCATCCATATATATTCATTTTATTAAAATTCTCAGGACAACTATCTAAATCAGGAGTATCAAACTCAAGGCCTGCCAGCTGGTACTTCCATCTACCCACGGGGGCCACCCTGGAATCAGCGGACCATCCCACAGTGCCTCTGCCAGCAAAAATGGAGCCTACATGCCCTCCCCCCCATTCCCTGTCAGAGTTGCAGGAGGCTGTCACAGCCGAAAATGGAGCAAGTGACATTGAGCTGAACCCCAGACCTGGCAAACACAACCCTGATGCAGCCCTCAATGAAATTGAGTTTGACAATCTGATCTAAAGTATAAAAAACTTACTAAATTTTATTTCTGCCTTCTAGGGTTAGGGTCAGCTACACTCCCGATTTGTGTCACTTGCAAATTGAATCAAAATTTATTTCAAATCTTTATCCATATAAGTACAATGTTGAGCAGAGGACCCAGATCTGAACCCCATGTTACTCCTCTCAATAACTCTACATTGCTTGCAGTAGTTTTCAAGTCAGCTATGGTAAAGATTCCCCTCACACATACGTGCTACTCGTTCCCGACTCTAAGGGGGCGATGCTCATCTCGGTTTTAAAGCTGAACAGCCATCTCTGTGGTCATGTGGCCAGCATGACTAAACGCCGAAGGCACATAGAACGCTGTTACCTTCCCATCAAAGGTGGTTCCTATTTTTCTACTTGCATTTTTACATGCCTTCAAACTGCTAGGTTGGTAGAAGCTGGGGCAAGTAACCGGAGCTCACTCTGTTACACGATAACGGTACAGCTATTTAATTGTAATCAAATTCAGCCCACACTGAATTAGCTTGCTAATCAAAATGTAGTATGTCATATATCTGGAAATTAAATATATTATGTACAGCATTCCCACAATCTTTGGAACTTGTTCAATGAAAAATGTAGGTGGTTAGACTGGGAGGGTTTTCTGATGAGATTCATTCTGACATCTGGCAATCACTGATTTCCAACTGCATGCTTGACAATATATTCTTTTGCACTACAACAAATTATATTTGTGCAAATATTTATTAGCAATCTCACTAATTTTAGAGTTGCCTCTAAATCCTAAGGATTTCTTTCATGGGGTGCCCCACCTAATTCAATTCATGCCAAGGACACACATTTTCCAAATGGTATACTTTATTAAATATAGTTGTTCAAGACAAACTATTCATTTTCTTCACTGCGCAGTCTGGCATTTGGATTGGTAACCTTGATAGCAAGCTGAGCTGCTCGCTCCACAATTACCTTCCGGTTCTTGGATGAAACGTTATGAGCAATTTCTGCACAAAATGACCTGAAAACAACCACAAAAGAATGTTACAAGCTCTTTGTTAACATATTGAATGTTTCTTAAGAAATTTTCTTCAAAATGAGCTTTATGAATTCCAGACAGTGAAAATCCATCTATTCTGAACTGAACATAAAACTAATCTAGATATGCAACACAACTTCCTCCTTTTCCCCACAACCACCACCCTGTGAGATAAGTTGAGCAGAATGGGTGACTAGTTCAAAGCCACCCAGCTAACTTTCATGACCATCTCTGCCTTTCTAGCATGGTGCCTTAACCATTAGACCAGTGATGGCAAACCTTTTTTGCCCACGGGCCAAAAGCACACACATGCACATGTGCCCATACATAATTTACCCCCCCCCCCGGTGCCATGCCCCCTGCTGCATAACTTAATCCTCCCCCCGCACACCGTTTTCTTGGAGCCTGGGGAGGGCAAAAATGGCCTCCTCTACCCCCCCCCCCAGATGTCCTCCGGAGGCTGCAAATGCCCCATTTCCCGACTTCAGTGGGCCCAGTAGGCCTGTTTTTCGCCCTCCCCCCGGCTCCAGAGGCTTTCTAGGAGCCCGGGGAGGGTGAAAACATCCTCCCACGTCCCCCTGGAGGCCCTCAGGGGACTTAAAACACTCTCTGAGAGCCTCTGCATGAGCCCTGTACTTAACTGGCATCACATGGAGACTCCTGGTAAGGGAAGGGCAATGTGGGTGGGCCAGCCAAAATCAGCTGGCCAGCGCACACATGCGCACTGGAGCCAAGGTAGGGCAAAGGCTCACATGCTCACTGATATGGCTCCGCAAGCCACCTGTGGCACACATGCCATACGTTCGTCATCACGGCACTAGACCAAACTAGCTCTCCTTATTGTCCTACCTCTTAGGAGGAAGGCACTATTTTGGTACTATAGCTTAGGTTCTCCAGGCTTGGTTGCAAACTCCCTTCTTTCTCCTTAGTTTTACTTTGATCATTAGATGTGTAAAATGAGTCTACTGCTTGAATTCAGTAGATAGTGCTCGACTTAAAACAGTTCATTTAATAACTGTTCGAAGTTACAACAGCACTGAAAAAGTGACCTATGACCATTCTTCACACTTATGACAGTTGCAGCATCCCCATGGTTATGTGATCAAAAATCAGACACCTGGCAATTGACTCATATTTATGATGGATGCAGTGTCCCAGGATCACGTGACCAACTTTTGTGACCTTTTGTCAAGCATAATCAAAGGAGAAGCTAGATTCATTTAATAACTGTGTTACTAATTTAACAACCGCAATGATTCATTTAACAACTCTGGCAAGAAATGTCGTAAAATGGACAAAAATTCACTTAACTGCCTCGGTTACCAACATAAATTTTGGGCTCAATTGTGGTCGTAAGTCAAGGACTACCTGTATGCCCACAACACAACTGACCGCTGGAGTCAATCCTATGCTATGGCTTATTCGATCTGTTTGGGATAATGTCCCCCACCACCCTGGGATTAATGTTCAAGATGATGTGGTATATATTAAGATAGTGATGAGGGCTGGAGGAAAAAATGAGAGCAAAACGCAGTCACAGTCCAAGATTTCTAGTTCTCATTAGTATTTTTTCCAATTTTTAAATAATTTCCATAATGGCAATATAAAAATTTTCATTTTTCTCAGACATCTATTTTTATGTTATGATCTTTCGGCAACACTAAAGAATTTTGTAAAGGCAATGAAGTAACAGAAAAATGACTTGTCTTAGGCAGGAAGTACAAGACATTCTGAGGAAGAGAATAACAAAAAAGATACCTAGAAAAGATGCCTAAACCAAAAGGCCTGGTTTAATGGATTCCATCTTCATTTCAGAATGACTTAATTTTACCATATAGCAATGCAACATGGCAGTTCCTAAAGAATAATTACAAAACACTGTTTCCAACTTACTTGTTGCTCATCATTAGCACCTCCAGCTCTTTGACATTATGAACAAGAAATTTCCGGAATCCTGAGGGAAGCATGTGTTTTGTTTTCTTATTGCTCCCGTAGCCAATGTTGGGCATCAAGATCTGGCCCTTAAATCTTCTGCGAACTCTGTTGTCAATACCTCTTGGCTTACGCCAGTTACGCTACAAAAATTCAAAAGCAATTGGAAGAACTTCAACATGATGTTTTCATTTTAAAGTCTTGAAGACCCACAATAAACCACCAACCAGAGTATCTTAATGTTAAATGAGGGTTTAACATTCACAAAAAGAACATCTACCTTGATTTTGACATAGCGATCAGACTGATGACGGATGAACTTCTTGGTCCTCTTTTTGACAATATTAGGTTTGATGAGAGGCCTCAGAGCTGGCATTGTAACTACAAAAAAACCATATGTAAAGAATTATAGCCTGTAGGTTATAAATGAAGCATAAAATTGTTGCAGAATATCTTCCGTTTGCTAGCGTGTTTCAGAGCCAGAAACAGAATGGGTGTTTTCTGCAATTTTTATCCCTCCTGTGTCCAAAGCTGGAAGAGTACAAAAACTCTCCAGATGCGATCCTGGGAGGTTATTGGTTTAAAATCTGAGTTTCTGATTTCTCATTTTCCAATATTTCTTTAGTATACTGCATAATGATACAAAAATGATACAAATTCTATATTACTTAAAGCAACTAACAGCAAAACCAATGGGTTATCTATTACAAGTGAAAGCTTTATCAGAAATCAGATTAACTATTCCCAATTGTTATTGAGATTTTTTTTAATTTTTAAGTATTGAATAAGACTGCAAGGCAATCTACATATACCATTGTAAAAATACATTGCAGCATGATGGATGAGCAAGATAATAGTTTTCTGTGCCTGACCACTGTTCTTCCAACTGTCTCACAACTTTAAATTTTCATCTGAAAAAAGAGACCAGGTTGGACTTGCCCTTGGGAATTCTAAGGCTTTTAATTGCACAAAACATATACCTTATTTTTCAGAGTATAAGACGCACCCCCTGCAAAAGTGGATGGAAAAGTCTGTGCGTCTTATACAGCAAATATTGCAGCAGGATGTGAGGTGTGTGGTTGGTGGTGCTGATCAGCTGTTCTATAATGGGCAAAGGCAAATGGGCTGTGGTGAACAGGCCAGATGACTAGGGATGGATGTTTGGAGGCATTTTTTTTTCTTATTTTCCTTCCTAAAAGCTAGGGGCCTCTTATAGTCTGAAAAATATAGTTTATCCCTGTACTTCATTTTCAAATCATGCCAAGTATGCAGACGCTGGGAAGATTAGCAAAATCATAACTCTACCTTCTTTCATTGCTAACTGAAAGGCTTGTATATGAAAATAAATATTTATATATAGCACATGTATATATAGAAGGAACAAGCTCTACAAAGTTAGTATTTCATAGAAAGGACCAAATGGCTTCTATAAGCTAAGGCTATGCATACAATGATTGCTACCGCTATGAAACAACTGGGTCTTGGTAATTTAATAAAAATATCATACACGCTTCTTCATCACTGAAGCTTTATCAGATGAAAGAGCAGGTGTATGTATCATTCCCACAACATGCACAATTGGATAAATGAGGGGATCAATGCTCTGGGGTAACTGTGAACTGATTTATATTGTAAAAACAATGGCCTGCATTACAGTATCGGTAGTCTACGAATTACAATCACAACTGAGCCCAAAATTTACGTTGCTAATGAAACACTTGTTAATTGAGTTTTGCCCCATTTTGCCAATTTTCCTGCCACCGCTGCTAAGGGAATCATTGCATTTGTTAAGGTTGTTAAGTGAATCTGGATCCCCCCCGCCATTGACTATGCTGGTCAGAAGTCCGCAAAATCGGACCGCATGTCTGAATTCTGATCCTATGGCCGCGGGGATGCTGCCAACGGTCGTTAAGTGCGAAAAACGGTCACAAGTCACTTTTATTTCAGCGCCGTTGTAACTTAGAACGGTCACTAAGCGAACAGTAAGGCGAGGACTTCCTGGACTTCCATAATTCCCAACCCGCATGCAGACTCAAAACTCTCCTGCCGCCTCTGAAAACAGCAGATCCAAAATATCGTCTTCTGAGCGGGGAAGAATGCGGGCCTGCCAGCTTTTGCGCTTGCCCCCCCCCCCAAAAGAAACCAAAGCCTGCAACCGCTTCCCGTTAACAACGTGTGAGAAAACCCGCCGTTTCTCCTCGCCTCGGAAAAGAGCGGCGGGAGCTGACGGAAAGCATCTCTAAGCAGCCTCGAAAAGGAAGAAAAGTTCGCTGCAATGTCTCCTCGGCCAGGATGGCAACGGATTCCCGACTTACCGACTATCTTACTTGGCGGCACGGAAGGAAAGAGAGAGAGTGGGGAGCCGGGAGCCGGAAGCCGCAAGGGTTGATGGGACGCTCGGGCGAGAGTGGAGTAAAGTCCTGGAAGGTCGGGTGAGAGCCTTTCGAGTCGGACGAAGAACCAATGGAAAGGTGTGCCTCCTAGGTGGTCAATCTTGTTAACGGACGATCAAATGAAAAGGCATTTATTTAAATTCTATTGAATTTCATTGAATTCTATTTAAATAAATCCACATTTCAATCCAATCGCGACACGCGATTCCGGCTGTCAATGAGCAAGGACCCGTGTACGTCACTTCTGCCAGCAGTGGCAAATTGTAGACGAGGAAAGTAGCCCTCGGAAGTAAGAAAGTGTAGAGACGGAGCCACGCTTGCTGTTCAATTGAGACCTCCTTATAAGTTTAAATAGAGCAGGGGCCTCCAACCTTGGCAACTTTAAGACTTGTGGATTTCAACGCCCAAAATTCTACAAGTCTTAAAGTTGCCAAGTTGGAGACTCCTGAAATAGAGGACCCTGGACAGGGCAGCGGCAGAATCGTTTGAAAAGATAGTATGCGCACCCACAAACTCTTGTGCCTCGCAATTTCTCAATGCTTTTTACAGATTTTTGCATTTGCATTAATTATACATTTTAATTCAATGTAATATTTAATTTTTAAAAAAAAATATCTGCCGTCTGATCTCTGATCTTAATATCTATGGGACAGGAGAAAATGAATGGATGATCATAGAATGAATTCCACCATAGAAAAAGCCTTTCCTGGTGTTCCGATTATCACGTCCTCCTTTGCCTGTTTAGCTATTGGGTAGCCTTAGACACCGATTAAGATCTGTGAATAACATCGCTTCTTTAGTTGAAAGTAAAAAAAGATTTCGGAGACCCCCGTTATGAAAGTAAAAAAATTAGTGAAAATATGGCTCAAGATTAAAAATCAAGAAAATAAATGTGTCAGTCTGCATCTGCATGCTAAATGACTACAGAAGATGAAAGGCAGCAGATGAGGTGGATGGATATAGGACCTATAGGAGATTATTGGAATTTTCATAGAACAAATTATTAGTAAATAGTCAAGATGATGCTTGCTTCAGCAATTTCCAGCAGCCAAGAATGTAATTAAAATTCTGCATTCTGCCTCCCCACTTTTCAAAGGAGGTCTCTAATTTTGAGTGGAAAGAGGGGAAAAAGTATAGAACTTCAACTATAGAGGTGGATCCATATATAAAATAACTCTTTTATCTGTAGCTGTGCACCAAGTTGAAGAATTTGGAGATTTTCCAAGTATGTTTCAGTATGAAAGCCCCAAATCTTTGTTTCATACCTGATATGCAAAGTTTTGGGTGGACACAAGTTGGTTTTGGGTGGACACTTGAGTTGGTTGTGCTACTTACATGAACCATTATGACAAGGGAGGTAAAAATTCCTGTCAAATATACACAGCCTAAGTTATATGTAACTGAAGTTCACTCTTGCTATGTGATATAAAATAATCATTTCTGAAAAAGTTGAGATTGAAATATAAGAACCTGGTTTTCATTTAATGATTGTCTTGTGAATATCACAGTAGCAGCTGGTTCTGACCAGTTCTGGAAAACCAGTAGTGGAAATTTTGAGTTCGGAGAACCAGTAAATATTACCTCTGATTGGCCCCACCTCCATCTATTCTCTGCCTCCAGAGTCCCAGCTGATTGGGAGGAAATGGGGATTTTGCAGTAACCTTCCCCTGGAGTGGAGAGGGAATGGAGATTTAACAGATTTTACTCTAACCCTTCCCCTACCACGCCCACCAAGCCCTGCTACACCCACAGAATCGGTAGTAAAAAAAAATTTGAATCCCACCACTGAGTAGCAATACCTAATAATCCTACTTGATCTGGAAGAAGATAAGCATCATCAGACCTGCTTAATAATTGAATGAAATATATCACCAGGAAACCCAGTATCTGCATTGGAAAGTTGAAAAAAAAATCTCATGGAATACCAAGACTTTTGTACTGTCACCAAGAAAACTACAGGGATGTATCCATACAGCTAGCATAAGCTAAGCTTTATTCAAGGGAGGGAGAGTAAAAAAAAGATTTTGTTTGTGGATACTTATTCACTAACTAACTATGAAACAGAAAGACACCATTTACAAATCAGGCTGGTTTTGAGAACTGGTTTATTATGCTTTCAAATCCCCACCCCTGTGCCGTGTATCGTAGGGAGCTGGTCAGGTAGTGGCACCAACAGTTGTGCCTAGACTTTTTTCATCTGGAAGAGGGGAAAGAATTGTGGCAGAAGACACGGCCAGGACTTGTTCACACCACAGTTAATGTAAGTGACCCTAACATTGGCATAGGGTTAATTTGATTGCAAGAAAACCAAAATCTTCACTTTGCCCACCTGTCCTCCAAGAAAAAAAGCTACAGGGAAAGAATGGCTGAAAAGCCCTTTAAATCTTTCCTAGTTTGGCTGCAGAAGTCAAGCCAGGCTTATTGAAGTTTACCTATCCAGCAAGATAGGTGGGGCCATTGAGGTAATAAAGCTGAATCAATTAGGACATTTTTAGGAAACCTGACAAAAACCTTGCTAGTGGTCTCTTAATATAAGGGCTCAAAGAATATCAGACACTTCCTAAATAGAATTTTGTAATCCTCCAAATGGTAGCTTTTAATCAGTATACGAAATTGTGTGCAGCTACAATCATCAGTAAGGTTTGACTGAATTTGTTTGATTTCATGAAGTGCGCTGTGATAACGGGCTCACCATGAATATCAACAGGAAACACAACTGATCTCTTTAATGAAATGATGATGGGCTTTTAAAGTTAGATACTGATCTTATGCTTCAATGATTCTAGCAATGCAAGACTGATCTTTATCCTATTTGAGGAGTAGAGTTATACCTTAAAATTTGTGTATAACAATATAGAAACTCTTCAGTCATTTGGATCGAGAAAGCCCTGTACACTGTACAGGCTTTCCATTTCTACAGTAGAGCATATTGTATGTAGATACTAAAGGATGAGACAAAAACTGACCATCTTCCATCTCTATTGAGAAAGCTTATGACGGGAGGTGTCCATATTAGAGGGGGTGGAAGAGAGGACATAGGTTGATAAAACTATCTGCAGTATAGAAAGATTATAAACAAGGGAATTTCTTCCTTGTAAAGGGGGAGATCAGGGCAGCTTAGGGTTTTTCCAGATGTGATGTGTTGATCACATTGGAAACGGAATGCTTAGGCAAAGTCTTGTGGCTTGATCCAACACCTTCATTTTGCCTGGAGATGCCAGGGCACAAAATTGGGACATTCTGCCAACCAAATGTCTTCTTCCACACAACCCTTGCATGTGAGAGGGATCTCGGAGTCCTAGTGGACAACCACTTAAATATGAGCCAGCAGTTCTGCCAAAAAAACCAACACAGTTCTAGACTGCATAAACAGAGGGATAGAATCAAGATCACGTGGAGAGAGCTGAGGTGGCGCAGTGGTTAAATGCAGCACTGCAGGCTACTTCAGCTGACTGCAGTTCTGCAGTTCAAATCTCACCGGCTCAGGGTGGGTAAAATGAGGACCCGGATTGTTGTTGGGGGCAATATGCTGACTCTGGAAACCGCTTAGAGAGGGCTGAAAGCCCTATGAAGCGGTATATAAGTCTAACTGCTATTGCTAAGTGTTACTACCACTTTATAATGCATTGGTAAGGCTACACTTGGAATACTGCATCATTTTGGTCGCCACGATGTAAAAAAAGATGTTGAGACTCTAGAAAGAGTGCAGAGAAGAGCAACAAAGATGATTAGGGGACTGAAGGATAAATAAAACATAAAGAACACTTGCTGGAACTGGATATGTCTATTCTGATGAAAAGAAGGACTAGGGGAGACATGATAGCAGTCTTCCAATATTTCAGGGGTTGCGCAAAGAAGAGGGGAGTCAAACTATTCTCCAAAGCACCTGAGGGTAGGACAAGAAGCAAGGGATGGAGACTAATCAAAGAGAGAAGCAGTTTAGAACTAAAATTTCCTGCAGAACAATTAATCAATGGAACAACTTGCCTCCAGAAGTTGTAAATGCTCCAGCACTAGAGGTATTCAAGATGTTGGATAACCATTTGTCTGAAGTGGTATAGTGTTTCCTGCCTAAGCAGGGGGTTGGACTAGAAGACCTCCAAGGTCCCTTCCAACTCTGTTATTCTACTGTAGAATTCTCCTTCAACCTACTCAGTATTATTATAACAGTGTTTATACGTCTCCTGCAATAACAGTGGATAATGTGCAACCAAACTAGAAGAGTCTGTTTGACTGTCAAAGCTAATGGGAACCGTACCCCCATTTTACCAATTTCCCACCCATTGAAAAATGTGTATACTGTATCTCCTGTTTTGTGTACCTCTCTCTGTTTCTAAGGAGGGAATAGAAGCAAAGCTGTTTCCAAAAAACCCAGGTTTTCAAACCTTTCATTAAAAATCTGTAGCATGATCATTCACGCAACATGCTTAAAGTACATAGAAATTGATTGATTGAAAACCCCTTTCATCAGGCCATAATTTTGTCATATTGTACATATGGGATTATGAACCTCCATTAGTCCAGTGCAGCAGATTTCTTGGTCAAGTTCTTCAAAAATGCCATCAAATGTAATAGTTATGTTTGCGAGATTCTGGATCCCCTAAGGTCATGTATCCCTTGTCGTTGACCGGCCAGTTGCGGCGTGGAACGTTAATACCAGGATTGACCGGAGCTGTGTGAGAAGCACGACTGAACAGAACTTCACTTCTATCCAGTCTTAATTCAGGTAGATACAAGTACAGCTTATCAAGAAGATGCCCCGGCCAGAAATTATTAGGGTTGGTCAATGGATTCAGGCAGTGATACATTCTCCTCAGTTCTCTGCAAGCAAATAATATGATCATGAAACAATATACAGAAAGAACAAGGTGGAGATTTAATAAAATGAAGATTTGTCATTTTGCCAAAAAAAGAAAGAAATATTCAGGGTTTGAACGTAAGCTGCGCTGTGGCTGCTTTGATTCCAAATTTGGCAGAATGCCACTATGCAGTGCAAGCAATTTTTAGGTTTAAGTTTAATTTAGGTTTAATATGCTGAGCCAATGCAATTAATATGAAATTCCTGTACATGCACAAATAAAAAATTAAAGGGGAACTGACATTTTATTGTTGTCACCTTAATGAGAATGAATCCCGAGTCTAAATAAAAATAAAATACTGTAACTTAAATCCTAGGTGCAAACTAAAAGGCTTGGGCCCAGCTGATCTGCAACACTGCCTCCTGCTGGAACTCACTTGCATCTGCATTTATTATGTGTCCTGAGAAATTTGATTGCTAAAACAGAAACGACGTGAAACTGACTTGAACAAATAAGTATATTTTAAAGTCAGATACATTTTAATTTAAAAATAAAAACTAATAAAACTAACAAAAATATTTTCCTTTTATGAACTGTAACAATAGGCAGTTCTTTGCATGTATGGGTTGATTGGGACAGGGACGCAACGTCTAATAAACAGATTTACATTTACTTTTACTATCGTATTTCTATTTGGGTGCTGCATTTGAATTTTTTACAATTATTTTTTATGTGTATGATTCTTAATAATTGGATTTAATAAATTTCCCCAAACCTGGGCATTATCTAGAGGTATACACATCATTTTCCAGAATTCTCCTGCTGGAGTGACCATTGCTGAAAATTCTGGGAATTTAAAGGCATTTATGTTGAGAAAAGGTAGGTTAAAAACATCAGATTTAATTACTGTATGAATGACATTAAAATACATTGGGAAAAAATCGTCTACCTCTTTCTCCATTTCAAGCTCTACAGCTCAGAAATGATTGTCAGTTGAATCTGACTTCTTTGGAGCTGATTTATAGATACAGTGTTAAAGATGAAATGAAACTAATCAAGCTTGTGAGCTTATGAAGATATTAGACAAAGAAGATAAATTTATCAATGGCCAGTACTGTGTTTGAAATGGCACTGTAAGTGCCCGTGACACTAAGTCAGCTATTCTGCCCCTTAAAATCCACCCCAAATGCCACAACACAGGGAGGGAAGAAACAAGTCTAGGATTCCCACTGCAACTATCAAAGGATTCCAGGGTGTGCAAGCAGTCATTATATACTTGACTTTTAGCATTGCCCACTATGGTTTATGTGATATTAAAAATCTAAACACAATGCTGAAGTCCTCATGCTCGTAATCTTTTCTTTAAAATATTATTTTAAAAGTGAAGGGTGTTGAAAGAAAGGAGCTTAGAAACTGAAACTGGGGGCTGGTTTGCTCAAACCAGTAGTAAAAAATGCTTAACAGAGTAAAAAAGAAAAAAATTCCAACGATCAGCTGTGCTGCGTGATGGTAGGAACATTATTTTTAGCATTTGGGGTCTGTTTTTGTTCCCAGGAGGCCTTCCTGAGGGGCAGGGTTGGTTGCTCCCAGAAAGAAAGAGAGAGGGGGGGAGGGAAGGGAGGAAGGACCACAAACCTGGTACTAGACACAACTTCAGAGGATACCTTGAAAGACCACAGCAATCCAGGGCTGGAAGGGACCTAGAGATCATCTAGTCCAACCCCCTGCTCCAGCAGGACATTGTTAAATTGAGTTTCTGTCTTTTGCCCCCCCCAGTCACATGACTACATAGCCAAGTCCATGCAGTCACATGACTCCCCCTCCCCAAACCATACCCACAGAATCAGTAGGAAAAATGGGGGGGATTTTAAAATGTTATGAATGAAGAACGGGAAGGAAGCAAATTATCAGGTGATCAAGTAGAATCAAGAATTTATAATAATCTCTATGCCAACTTCTAGACAGATATAGATATGCCGAGTTCAACAAAAGAAATGTAACGTCATACCTTTCCATGTATTTTTTTGCAAACGCATCTGGACCCTCAAACAAATTTTCATCAAAAAATTGCTCATTCCAAATATCTGACGGAGGTTGTAGTCTTTTGGAGTGTTTACTGCAAAGCATAAAGAATTTCAATTTAGAATCAATTGGTATTGTAAAAAAAAAAAGTTGGACAGCTGGATGGCAAAAAAAAAGAAGGAAAAAAAGAAATGCCACAATGTCGAGTGTATATTGGTGAATGAAAATAACAGGCCAGCCCAGCGCTCAGCAACTTTAAGATGTGTGGACTTCAATTCTAATCTGCTTGGGGAATTCGATAGTTGAAGTTCAACATTAAAATTGCTGAGGTCAAAGAACACTGGACTAGAATCATAGCCTCTGCTCTCAACATAAAGTCTCTACTAAGCTACCATTATGGTCAATTATTTGCTATCCCCCAGAAAAAAACTACCCCTAATTTTCTCTCCATCTGTAAGAGAAGAGATGAAGAAGGGCACCTTTGTATGGCCAGCTATCAAGGTAGGACAGCATCAAAATAAGACTTCCTTTAGCTTTATACCGTTTTCCTTCTTTTACTATTACACCCATGATCACATATGGCTGGACAGCCCAATGCTGAAATAATCCAAATTTCCTTTGTAAAGTAAAGCTAGGAAGAGAGATCTTACATTCTCATGCATTCCCAGATTGCTAGTACATACCGTGTTTCCCCGAAAATAAGACAGGGTCTTATTTTCTTTTGACTCCTGAAATAAGCATTTGGCCTTATTTTCGGGGAGGTCTTATTATTTTTGAGGTGCAGGAGGTGACAAGCGCAGTCACCTCATGGCTGCTGCTGTGCTGCAATATTTTCAGGGGAGAGCTTATTTTAGCGCATGCATTCAAAAGCCCAATTGGACTTATTATCCGAGGAGGTCTTATTTTCAAGGAAACAGGGTAGTAATCTAAATAGCTACACCCTAAAGAATCAGTTATATCTTTGCTATGATAACTTTGCCAAATCTACAAATAAATTGCATTTTATTGTTTTTAGCCACATACCACACATCCCTCAATTTGAGATTATTAATCCAACATAGATTTCAAGTAATTCTATTGGAAGTTTAAGAAATTCCCAGTATAATATTTGTAAAAGTTTGCCAACATTGCAAGTCTCTTAGCAAACTACCCAACGCTGTTAGCATAAAAACCGCTGGAAACTGAAAACAAAATTTTACGATAATTGGCTAATACCAGAGTACATTCATGATTCTGTGTTTTGCCCACTGAAAACAATACACAGTTCAATCCTATTGCAGAAATTTTGCTGATCTCATGGCAAAGAAATAGTTTATAAGATGTTTGCATCTATTATTCCCATAGCAAAATACTTTTTCCAATAGTATGCAGGATTATATAGAATAATATTGATTAACAACAAAAAACAATGTTATGTGGCAGGCGAGCCACATGTCCAGGAAAAAATTAGTAATTTCTACAAAGAACAAAACAAAAAAAATCAGTTATGCAGAATGGCTAAGTCAAATCGAATATAGATAGTCTTTGATTTACAACTGTAATTGAGCCCTGAATTATGGTTGTAAATTGTTGCAGATGTAAATCTAGGCATCATGTGACCAGATTTGAAATTACAACCATTCTTACCACAGTTGTTAAGTGAACACAGTGGTTGTTAAGCAAATCTATTTTTTCCAAAGGGTGTTTTTTTTGTTGGAAACCGGAGCATTAGAAACTGGCAAAAAAATATGTTGTGAATTATGTTCATGTGACTCTGGGATCCTTCATCCAGCCCACGGGTGGGCTAATGGGGGCTCACAAGGGTTCGGGAGAATCTCTAGCTAAGATTCTGTGCAATTTAGAGAATCCTCAAATCCCACTCCTGGCTGGCCCCGCCCATCCCATCAGGACTCCCCACACAGCCCGTTTTGGATGCAGGTAAGTGCAGGGTGCATGCGGAGGCTTGGGGGGTCAAAAAACAAGCCCCCCCAGAGCTTGGGGAGGTTGTTTCGCCCTCCCAGCAGCTTGGGGAAAGCCTCTGGAGCCTGGGGAAGGCAAAAACACCCTCCCCCCGCTGTGGTGCAGGAGGCTGTCTAGACCATGCCCAACGTGGCTATGCCCACCCAGCAACCAGGCAGAGATCCCCTTACTAAAATTTTTGAAGCCCACCCCTGAGCCAGCCATAATGGTGAATCAATTGCCGAGTGCCCAAAATGTGATTGTGTGACCAGAGGGTGCGTATGTAGCCCCTGTAACTCCAAAAATGGGTTGTAGACATTTGTAGGGGAGATTTCTTGTAATTTCAAATGGACATTAAGCAAACCCTTGTAAATTGTGGCCTACCTGTAGGGAAGGGAAATGAAAGTGCTTGTGGATACTGAAGCTCCATCATTCCAAGAGCTTTTTAGATAATAACTCCATTCTACTGAATACGTACCACGTCAGTTTCTTAAATTCCCTAAATGATTTCCAGCGGTGGGCCAGAGACGGCCTTTGGACCAGTTTAATTGGTTTTGGTTTTCTAGAAGAAGTAAACAGAAAAAGTGAACAGAAATTGAGGGATTAGGATCAGACCGGTCCTCTCCAAGCTGATGTTTTTTAGATGTGTTAGAGTATAATTCATATATATTTTTTTATCCCAAAGCTGCTTTTTCAAGAGACAGCTAGATTTTCTTGTTTTTCTTTGAAGGTGTTTCGCTTCTCATTGAAGAACCCAAGGAGCTGAAGAAGCTTTTTGGATGAGAAGTGAAACGTCTTCAAAGAAAAACAAGAAAATCCAATTGCCTCTTGAAAAAGCATCTTTGGGACAAACACAACCATGGATGACTGAGACTCTCCATTGACATTTCCAAATTTTTAGATACTAATGGGGAAGAAGGCATTATAGTGTGTTTATGAAAACTGGGGATGGGGATCACTTATTCATGTGTCTCTATCGTTTATACTAAAGTAGATTAGATAAGAAAAAGCAAAAAGATATACATACGTAGTCCTTTAAAAAGAAAAAAGAAACTGCACAGAATATTCCGGGTTATGAAAAATTATCACCAGATGCAAGAATTCACCTGTAAAGGTGAATGTTCTGCACGTTCTCTTAAGCAGATCTAGTCACATGTTATGTTTCTATAGAGGCCAGCCAGATGTCTCTGGGGAAACATACCTACAAGGCATAACATGTGGCAGCTAGTCCTGATTGGTTCCCACTATATTTTTTGGGAATTAATGCTGGGAATGATTGAGGACAAAAGAAGGGGACAACAGAGAATGAGATGGCTGGATGGAGTAACAGAAAAAGTAGGCATGAGCTTAAATGGACTCCAGGGGATGGTAGAGGACAGGAAGGCCTGGAGGAATGTTGTCCATGGGGTTGCGATGGGTTGGATATGACTTCACAACTAACAACAACAAATATTGTTTTCAGAAGAACTCTGCCTCTGAACATTGTGGTTTATTCGATTATCTACCTTCATCTATAAAGTTTTTCTCATGTCACAGCTGGAACACTGAGAGAACGTGAACTTAGCTGGATCAAAGGTTGATTAATGGAAGTTGAGGGAGCAACCAATTAAGCATTAATGTGTTGGTAATTTGGGAATTGGCATTGATGTATTAGCAGGACTGCTTTGTCTACACAGAATTATGCATGCCCAATTCAAGCATCCTGGGAGAAATTACTTAAGGTCCTTACAATTGCCACATGGGGAGGACCAAGAGTTGCAGAAGCTGGGTTTTTTTTTTAAGGCTGTGCCAATGTTGGGGGAAATGCTTCCCAACCGACATCAGATCCATTGTTTCAGAGGGCCTATGGTGACAGATTATGCCAATGTGAGATTGGAGGTCCTTAGTGTTATTTCATAGTGGTGTTGATTTATGGTCTATTTTTATAGTGGATTTTTTGTGGCATTAATGTTTGCTATGAATTGTCTACAGTTCAGCAGATAGCAATAGCAATAGCAGTAGACTTATATACCGCTTCATAGGCCATTCAGGCCTCTCTAAGCGGTTTACAGAGAGTCA